TTACAGAAATGTCTTTAAACATATATAAGACCTTACCGGCGTCCGGAACAAAATAGGGCCCGATACCATTCATGTTCTAATCAAATTTCATTTCAAATTTACTCTTAAAAAATTTAGAAACAATTTCCTTTAAAAATTCATTTCTTGGCTTGGACCTCGGGAATTCGATTCTCGGGGCATACGCCCAAGTCCCTTATTTCCTACACCCTCCGGACCGTCAAATCATGGGCCGGGTCTTTAACCAAATATTTGACGCGATAGTCAAACTTTAACCTATTTATTAGCAAATTTTATCATTTTTTCAGATTTTTATATTTAAGCCTTTCGCTCTACCGCCCGGAGCATAGCGCGCACGCAGGCAACATACGAAACGCGTGACTCTCCTAATTGAGTTTTCCAAGCTGGATCCTCGGAAGCACGCGGCAAGTTTTGAAATGTTAAATAACAGTAAGTACTTCGATGATACCTTTTGGGATCAATAATACACATGACTGTTGTTCAAGTCGACGGTAGCCAAGAAAGGCTCAATACAATTACGGAGAAGGCACGCTATAAGTGTAATAAGACACATCATAACTAAAAGACAAACTCAGGTCGCGCCAAATCAAGTAAACTCTAAGGCTTTAACCAGTTATCAAACTGCAAGTCAGTTTCCCTATTCTGGGATTCCTCCAAGTGAGTCCCGTATCCTCCATTAACGTTAGTTACTTCTTAGCTAGATATGTGAAGGGTGGCTTTATAATCCCTTTGGGGCTAAAGTTTATCTTATGATTGGGAAAATTTCTCCAGCATTGATGCTTTAATTTTTTTTATTGAAATTTCCACATTTTCTCTTTATTAAACATGTGGTTTATCTTGCCTGAATATGCCAGGTTGTCAAAGTTGCAGAACTTAAAAGCTTAAATTTGGTTTGTGGCTCAACCCGCGAGCTAAGACGAACATTCATTCCTTTGATAGAGAACATGGGAGAAAAGTTGTGAATCTGTTAACTGTTGAACTTATGCTGCAATGACATCCTCAAAGTGCACTACTGACACACACACTGCAATTTCGCATGGGGAAATTTCCTTTCCATTATATATTATCGTGGCAGTTCCACTCAAAATGTAAAAAAATCCAGTAAGGAAATGGAAAATATTTCTTTTTACCTTTTTTTTTAAAAACGTTCCCACAGACTAATAGGTGGAATCAGTTGCGCCAAAATAATAAATTATTAACTATTACCCAGTGAAACGGTGGGATTCTCGGATTAAAAAATTATTTTAATGATGCGAGTTGATGCAGTGGAAGCTCAAAATTTCGAACTTTGAACAAAACCGCGAGCTTTAAAAAAAAATTTCAACAAATATACCCGGGAATCTGGTGGGAATGTCTTTTTTTTTCGTTTTACACACTTATTTAGGCGTATATCCTAATATTTCTTCTCTTTTAATTATTCACCTCTCATCCTCTCTTTTCTTCTCGTTTTTGGCAGAAACCCTCCATTCTTGCCCTAGAGATTTCACTCATGCAAAATCAAAGGTAAGTTGGCGCCTCTCTCTCTCTCCGCGTATCCCCTCCTTCTCTTCTCCTTTTTCATGATTTTACCCCTAAATGCCTAAAAAACCTTAGGGTTCCTCATATGCCTGAAACTAGCTTTTGTGTGTATGTTTGTGTGTGTAGTTGGTTATTTGGGGTCCTGAGTTCATAGACCATTTTGAATTTTCTCTTCTCCTTTCACGTTATTTTAGAGGATTATTATTAGATTTTGAACTCCGATTTAGATTACGAAGCCTGAAAGAATTATTTCTCTTCGATATTGTATGTTAAGTAAAGGTGTATATAGTGGGAAGGTGCAATCTGTATGAAAGTTACAGTATCGATAAAGAGCTATGCTGGTGTACTCAAGCTGGATGAAGTTTAATTTCTTTTATAACCCATTATATAGTTCAGGATGTCAAATTAATTCTGATGAAATCAAAATTACTTGCAGGCCTAATTTCTTAAAATATAAAGCACCAAAACTTTTTGTTTCTCAAACATTTAGCCAACTTGTTTTACTGGTTGGTATTGTTGTGTGAAACAAAAGAGCAGCTCAAAAGATTAGCTACTGCAATCTCGCCTCACAATCCGTTCATGAATTTACTAAATTATGTTTAAAGTTCACCTTCAATTGTGTTTGAAAAATGCTATTTAGTAATGATACTCTAGTGGCTGCAATTGACAGGTCAATGGAGGCAATATAAATAGAAGCCAAAAACTTTAAGATTAATCTCATTCTTGCATATTATATAATATGATGATAATACAATATTACTCGAGGAAATTATCAACATTCTCTACATTTTGGTCTTCAGATTTAGGTGCAACACATTTACGTTTCAGCTTCTTGCTTTTTGTTACCACATTGGCCAAAGACCATTTTATCCTTTTGAAAATTATAATTATCATGCAGCTTTTTTTAAGTATAATTATCATCTCTTTTACTCCTTTTGAAAATTGGACACGAATTGAAGATACAAAAGTGTGAAAGAAGACAAACAAGTTATAAGTCTTGAGGTAACTTATATCTATCGCTCCGAAGTTTAATTATTTATGGATGATATAACATTGTGTTAGAATCTTGGTTTGACTTTTCTTGACTTATAAAAAGACGATAAAAGTTAGTTCTCTGAAGGTATATTATTCATAAATAATTTAGTTAAATATGGTTCTTTAGGTATACTATTCCGTACTAATTACTAACTTGAAACAAATAAAATATATTATAGTATATTCTTGTTTGTATATTTGTTGTACTTAAATGGAGAACATGAACATCGTAGATGGAAATGTAACGATAGGGAATCATTCCTAATCGTGTGGCTTTAAAGTGACAGAATTTGTTGAAGGTGTTAAACGGATTTATTGCTCATGCAAAAATAGCTTCCTGAATTTCTATGCGAAGGAACCAATTAGGTGGTCGCTTGTGTGAAATGCAGTTACATAAGTTGTTTGGCAACCAGATTAGCAAATGATGTGCTGAAATAATAATAATGGTGGATTGTTACTCTTTTCACAATGATTCTTGTTTTTATATAGCAATTGATGCAAAAAAATTGGAATGGTAAATGAAGAAGAGGGCAGCTGACACTATAATAAGTGTCAGTTTGGGTATTCTTATTTCTCGAATCAATCCAAGTATGGAAAATGTGTTTCACAATTAAATTGTTTATACAATTAAGTTACAAGCCATCTTTTAGTGGAAAAAGAAGGAAGTGAAAACTGCATTTTGTCCTTAATTGAAGCAGTGGTGCATGCATATGAAGTTATATGTTAATAAAAGATATACTAAGTTAATAGAGAACCAACCTTTGCTTGTGTCTGTCAAGTTTCAATGGATTTTCTTCAAATTTTGCACAGGCTCTTTTTCGCCCCCACTTTTTGTCTGCATAACATTTGGACCATATCCATTCATCATGTTAGTTGCCTCAAATTGATGGAACTTGTTACCTTACAACTGGACCCCTCCTTTGACATTTTGTATGTGCTATTTTTGGATATCATTTCTTGATAATGGAAGTAGATTTAAATGCCTATAGTCAACTATTATAAACGATTTTTGCATCATGTTTACGTAGGAGATCATTTTGATATATAAGTGCTTCAGTTTTGCATGATTTGCAGAGAGCACCACTGAATCACCTGTTGTTATAGTATTATTGGCATTCAACCTGTTTATACTTCAAAGCTTTGCTGAGAGCACCACTGAACCGTTTCATGGACATAGCACTTTAATTTTGCTATTTTCATGTTTTATTTAACAGGAAAAGTCTTTAAAAAGATCAGCTACTCAAGATGAGGTATTTGAGCATACACATATGAAGAAGCTAAAGGATGGAACAAAGACAACTTGGATCGAGCCACGAGCCGAGACAACCTATGTAAGATTTCAAGTTACTTTTTAATACTTTTCATTAATTAAATTTATTCATATAATAGTTGTAACTTTTTTGCAGAATACTTTCAAACAATCATTGGAGGAATTTGTTCAAAGCCAACCAACTGATGATCAAGGAAAGCCAACCCAACCATCCCAGGAGGATTATATGGACTTGTGGATTAAGGCGGCTGGTGGCGTACATTAGGGAAGAGTATACGGCCTTGGATCAGAGTTTAGTTCTAGTCGTCGGTCTTTTGGATCTGGTGGCTCTTCTTCCTCAAGGTCCTCGATTAATCAGGATGAGTTTGAGCTATTGAATAGAAGAATAGCAGAGATCACTGAGTTGTATGCACAGGAAAGGGCTGCGCAGGAGGAGGAGGCAAAGCGAAGGGAGGAGGAGGCAAATCGAAGGGAGGAAGAAGATAGGTGGAGGGAGGAAGATGAGGGGCGGAGGGATGAAGAAATGAGGCGAAAAGATGTTGCATTTACACGTGTCACTGGTGACGTTGAAAGCCTCAAGGCCCAGCTAAACTACCTCTTAGCATCTGGTGGATTTCCTGTGCCACGTTCTCCATCACGCTCTAACAAGACAAAGGAGTTATTAATATGATTTTGGGTAGGACTATGATGTTGGATGTTATGTATCAATTGGATAAGATTGAATGCTGAATTTCTTATTTATGTTAAGTTGCATTATTGGTTTCTAGTATTTTCAGTTTTTGTTGGTTGTTAATTAACGAAATGGATAGGAAGATGCTGATCTTTGTGTGTGAATGTTTAATTGTATTTAGGTTGGTGGTTGTATTTTTTTGTTTGGCAGGTGGTGCAGTATATTTACAGCATTGTGCATAAAAATAATTTCCAAATTTCCCACGGAATTGCCACTGATTCCGTGGGAAGGTTCGTCATTTAGTTGCAGAACTTGCATATTTCCCACTGATATCGGTGGGAAAGTTCATACGATTTTTCATAATTTGCATTTATCCCACTGATATCGGTGGAAAAGTTCATACTTTTATTTTCAGAATTAACACATTTCACACGGATATCAGTGGGAATGTTCACACTTTATTTTTCAGAACTTCCATATTTCCCACCGTTATCAGTGGGAAAGTTCATACTTTATTTCCAGCTCCCTATGCATTTTTCCCACCACTTCCCTGGCTAATGTATTAAAATTAATAAAAATTACTAATAATAGTTCCCACTGATTGTTGGTGCGAAATTTCATTATTTTTCCTATTAAAGTTTCTCTGGGAAACCCGTGGGAAATTTCCCACCACGTCTCTGGGAAGATATTTCCCACCAGGCATTTTCCTGGTGACTCATTTCGGTGGGAATGCGGTGTGAAAACTCGATTTTCCCACCGGTTTCCCACTGATTTCGCCGTGGGAAATCCATGTGTTTCTAGTAGTGTGTTACTTCTTCAACAAGTGAGCCCTTTGCCGGTATTGAGTAGCCAGATGAAGGTAACAGAAACAAATCCAAAGAATCAAAACTAATTAAGTTTGGCCACTCCTCTCATGAAGAGAAAAAGGTGGGCAAGACACAGGATGAGAAAAAATCTAGGCCTCGAAGAATGAGAGAGTTCCACAATATCAAGATTAGTCAGGTCAGTCCATTATGTGGGCTAATAACTTATTGTAGCTTCGTCAGTTTGTTTGTTTTCGAAACTAATACATGTTTGATATGCATGAACTAGGTTGAGTTACTTGTTACATGTGAAGGATCAAGATTTGCTGTGAGTGATTTAAGATTACTGATGGATACATTCCATCGTGTTGAATTTACTGGAACCTGGCGGAGGCTATTCTCAAGAGTTAAGAAACACATCATATGGGGAGTCCTAAAATCACTAACAGGAATGCAGGTTAGTTCCTTTGAAATTATCTTTTTCCAATTTCCATTATCTGTAATCATTCAATATTTGACCACATTAAATATCTTTATCTGTTGCTGTATGATAATCCGTAATAAGTATCTCCAGACTCATCGACTACCTCAAGAGGACTAACACTTCAGTGACCATGTCTTTTATACTAATGCAGGGCAAGAAGTTTAAAGATAAAGCACATAATCAAAGGGAAGCTGGTGTTGCTGGTGTCCCCGATATTGATCTTAATCTCAGTGATAGTGATGGTGGTTCAGCCGGAAAATCCGGAGCAGAACCCTTTATCCTGGCCTAAGCGCCCCCCTGAAGGAACAGGTGACGGTTTTGTCACCTCTATAAAAGGCCTTTTCAATTCTCAGCGCAGAAAGGCCAGGGCTTTCGTGCTTCGGACAATGAGGGGTGAAGCAGAAAATGAGATACCTGGTGACTGAAGTTAAAGTGAGGCAGAGTTCTCTCCCTTTGCCAGACAACTAACCATAACAAAAGCCAAGAAGCTGATTAGACGGCATACAAAGAAGTTTCGTTCTAGAGGACCAAAAGGTTGGCAGAGCTTTTTCCATGTTGAAAGTATCCTGTTCTCTCTTTTATGGTCCTATTGTTTTCCTCTTGGAAGAACTAATGTAGGATGCCATTCTGTGCTCTCTGTTGTGCTAAAGCCAGCAGAACTGGCATTAATAGCTTTCTAATAGGCCCAGCATTTTATGATGTCTAGATTGCTTAGTCACAGTTGATATTTTAGTCCTCTGGTTTTGGGCCAGTTTGGCTGACAGTGTGGTCGTTTTAATTTTAAGCTATGCTACAAAGTATCAGTAATATTGGTTACTGACACAAGTCTTTCTTTCCAGGTTTATCTTCTCAACAAAGAGAATCACTTCCTTCATCACCAAGAGAGACCACCCCATTTGAAAGTGATTCATCAAGTGAATCTTCGCCTTATGAGGATTTCCACGAGTTGCTGAACTTGAGACATTGAAAGCACGTATTTTATGGGATCCAAAGTGGATTGGAACAATCCTCGGTTATATGCAACATTCTGCTATTATAGCAATTCCAATTGATTAGGATTTGCTGAGATTCTTGTCTCCTGCTTAGACAGTATGAGATGCCTACATGTTATTCCAAAATAAGAACAGGCAAGAATTGCGAGAATATGCAGAAGTCTACAATTATTAACATTTCAATGCCTTCTTAGAGCTCTGGATTCATCATAGAAATAGAGCAAAGGTGAGTCCCTTTAGTTATTGTCATTCTTTTCTTCTTTAACCTTGTATGTATTTATAGATTATTATAGCACCCAACACAAACGACATTATGACTTGTAAGAGTCCATAATTTTTGTAATCAATAGTTGCTACTACATGTACAGTAGACACGGAATAGAGTTAGAATATGTGTTCCCTGAAAAAGTTTTCTGCACTGTAATAGTGGAAATAGAATGGAAATGAAATTCCAACTCTTCAGTCTCATCATCCGAACAAAGAAATAGTGTATCATTCCTACTCTACTTGCTTTGCTTGCATTATTAACAGACTTCTGTGTGCTGATTCAAGTTCTTCATTTGAAAGGTTTCCCTCTTTCACGAGTCGAAAGAAAATAACACTAATACAAGCTATCAAACATTATTTAAACTAAAACGTGTGAAACACCACTTTGATGTTAGAGAGAATTAAATCATACCTTGTGGTTACAGCTTGTAAGAAACATTAACTATGGACATGGCAGAAGCTTTTTTTTTTCTTTTTCAAATGATCATGTAATGAGTTACTTTGTTGATGTGAAGTTGCCATGTTTTTTTGATTTTGTTCGTTACTATCTTAATTGCTCAATGAGGAGCTTATCAATTGTCATTTTGAACTGTCAAATTGAAATATGCCATCGTGTTCAGGAAGAAGGAAAACGGAAGTGCCTGTTACGTCCCACCACCTGCTTCTGTTTCGTCTAGGATACAAATTCTGGTCTATACTTTGTCTTCATAATCATTTCCTTTATCTGCTAACAATCTACCTCTGGGTACTTTTCTTTTCTTTGGAGTATAGATTACAGTTTTGATAAAACCAATATTCGGTTGCTTTGTAGTTCTACGGGCTGATATTCTTCTATTATTATGTTTCTCATTTTGGGCTGGCATGCACAATCCAATGATCAAAAGGTCACAATTCTAGCTAGAGTGACAAGTTGAAATTTGAGTGGCCTTTTGCCCGGTTGGTATTGTTACTGCTTTAACAAAACAGTAAGGCTGGTCTCGCTTCACTTGGGTTCTTTGTTCTGCGAGATTGTATAGTTACTCGTTTCCAACGAATTACCTTTTTAAGAGCCCATTTGGACATAAGAATTTTCACTTTTTACAATTTTTTTTTTTTTTTACTTTTTTTCCGAAATCGGTGTTTGGCCATAAAATTTCTAATTTTCACTTGAAGATGAATTTTGGAATTCTTCGAAAATTTGAAAAACTCTAAAAAGTTATTTTTTAAATTTTTCACTCAGGTCACTCACAAAGCTTCAAAAACAACCCAAAATTATATTCATGTCCGTTTAATTTTCAAATACCATTTTCACTTGAAATTATCTTTTAACTTTTTTTGGAATTTTACAATTCTTATGTCCAAACGCCCATTAGCCCGTTAGCTATCTATTTGGTAATACTTTTTAATTATGGCTGGTTATAATTGGTCGTTCAATTGAACTTTTAGCGTTTCTTTGACCTGGTACAATATAAAACAGGTTAAAGTCTAACGACATATACAAAAAATGCCTAGCCTATTTTGCAGAATAATAGTCTAGCATTTAGTAGACTAATGGTCGTTTACTTAAATTTGTCGGTAATTGCATTGAGTCACACATTCTACTTGGTATAAATTGTCCACATCTTAAAAAGGTTATGAACTGTATCAATCAAAGTCGAGTAAGAAAAAAGTTTGGTGTCAAAGCTTGTTCAGTTTAGAAATTGCTTTATATATACACAAGATAGAAATTGTCCTTTGTTGATCTGACGATGAATTCTCTCGGACCTTAGCCCTTCAAGAACTGCAGCTCAAGATGCACTACCTGCAATCTGTTTGCAGAAAACACACTACGTCCAACTTCAATCATTTTATTTGTCTTTAACATTTTTTATATCTCACACAATTCAGCGAGAGATTTTCAGTCAGGCATTTATCCAAATAATTCTAAGTTCTTGTCACGACCCGGATTTTCCACCCTCGGGAGTCGTGATGGCGCCTACTCGTAGAAGCTAGGCAAGCCAAATTTAGTTCTTTTCCTTTAATAAACAATCCTTCAACAATAATATTTAAACAATGAAAATCAACAATAATAAGTGGAAGTCTTAAATTTAAATAGCTAAGCAAGATACTGAATTCCAACATAATCTCTACCCCGGATCTGGAGTCACATACTCACGAACATCTAAGGAATACTAAATACAAGGTATGAAAGAAACATAAATCTGTTTATCCCGAATACAAAGAGATGACAGTCTAATGTAAGGGTAGAAGGGAGACGCCGGGCCTGCGGACGCCTGCAAGGCTACCTCGGGTCTCTCCGGACTGGAAGATATGCTCCCGAACTAAAGCTGTTGCTGCTGCTCGAAACCTGGACCTAATGCACAGAGTGTAGCATCAGCACAACCGACCCCATGTGCTGGTAAGTGTCTAGCCTAACCCCGGCGAAGTAGTGACGAGGCTAGACCAGACTACCACATAAACCTGTGCAATTTCATATATATATATATATATATATATATATATATTATATATATATATATATATATATATATATATATATATATATATATATATATATTATATATATATATATTAGCGGAATCGAAATACAAAACAGATAAAAAATATGGGAGGGAACATGCTGTGGGGAGTAAATAAATTCAAATAAGAGTCATCCAATAATAAAGGAATACAGCAAACTCAATAGTACGTAATGAAACAGAATTCAACCAGTGCACGGCATCAACCCTTCGTGCTATTACTCTCGTCTCAATCAGAAATAACGTGTGCCACGGCATCACCTCCGTGCTTTTACTCTCATTCCTCACATATATCAATAGAATCGGCACGGAATGGTACATCGTGCGGCACGCATCACCCTTCGTGCTTTAACACTCTTCTCATAATAAGCAATAATGCACGGCATCAGCCCTTCGTGCTTTACACTCTTTTCCTTACCATAAACAACAGTGCACGACATCACCCTTCGTGTTTAACACTCTTCCTCACCCAATCAGCAATCACAAACAAGGGCAAGGGAAATAAATAAACAATAATGAAAATCCCGGCAAGGGCACAAACAAACAATTAAGAACCCGGCAAGGGTACAATATCAATAACCAACAACGTCCCGGCAAGGGAATAAATCATTAACTCTTTCCTTTCTTTCACTTTCATCTCATTGTTTCACATTATCACTTGAAGCCAATGCTCCAAGAGTTGCTTATCTCATATACTTCACAAATTGTATTTCAACCCGAGCCAATGCTCCACGAAGTTTCAAGATCATAATTTCTTTCACAAGGTCTTACAACATATAGAAATCACGTTTAAGCATGGAAGGCATAACAACAACCAAACTATTTCGCAAATAAGGACTCACGGTCATGCTTTGACACCAATGTATAGATACTCGTCACCATGCCTATACATCGTACTCAACAATTAGCAAGTTACAAATAAGACTCAACTCCTATTCCCTCAAGCTAGGGTTAAACCAAACACTTACCTCGATGCCTTGAACTCAACTCAAGCCTCAACTATGGCTTTACCTCGTAATTCCACCTCCAAACCGCTCGAATCTAGCCACAAATTACTTAATTACATTAATAAATACTAAATGAATCAATTTGAATGCATAAAAATGAATTTCCCAAAGTTTTTCCCAAAAATTCCAAAATCGTCCCCGGGCCCACGTGGTCAAAACCCGAGGTTCGAACCAAACCCGGTTACCCATTCCCCCACGAACTCAAATATGTAATTTGTTTTAAAATCGGACCATCAATTGAGGTCTAAATCCCCAATTTATAGAAAACCTAGGTTCTACCCAAAAACCCCAATTTCACCCATGAAAATCCTTGATTTTAAGTGGAAAACATGTTAAATGATGTTAAAGGTTGAAAGAATTGAGTAAAAATCGACTTACAATTGATTTGCGATGAAGTTTGTTCTTGAAAAATCGCCTATGGTGTTTGGGTTTTGAAAGAATGGTGAAAAGTGATGAAAATTCGACCAAGTATAAAATTTGCTGGGCTGCGGATATGGGAATTGCGAAACAGGGTTCGCAATTGCA